TGTGACAGGGATTCGAACCCACGACCCTCAGATAACGAGTCGAGCGCTCTAACCACCTGGCCATGTGGGGCTCCACATTAAAAGTTGTAGAATGAAAACTATAACAAGCAAAAAATGGTTACGAGGTCAATCCCTGGGACTGAGCCTGTAGTGAAAGAGTTAAGGTCAATGTAGGGCATGATAACCCATCCCCAACCATACAAGTTATTATTGAACGTTTTGTAAAATCAACGAAATGGTTACATATAGCTGAAAAAAAAAATCTGCACATTAGATAAATGACTTACGATGATTTTATTGTGCTGAAGCCGAAATCATTTGTCATTAGTGACAAAGGAATTAAATTAACCTGGGTAAATACATGCTAACTAATGATATAAAAGCAAATTAAACTTAAAAACTTTTTAACTCAATAAATGCTGGTTACATAATAAACAAAAACTACAATTCTTTTCTCTTGGATATGGTGGAAAATTTTCAAAACTAAAATTTCTAGACAAATTTTAAAACTATCATAAAATTAAATATACCTACTCACCTACTGGTATTCTTTCATAAACTTTTCATAAAAATCCTTCACGTGACTCAATAAAGTTTTGAGTTTCTCCGGCTGAGGTAAAATTGTTGTTCTAAGTGACATAAAAAACAAACAAAAAATTACAAAACACTGCTCATTCTTGAACATCATGAAAATCTTACATTTTACTCAAAGCTTGATGAAAGTCGGCTGAGGGAACCAATAAGTATGTGGCTGCTGATATTTCAATATTTATTCCACAATTCTATACTTGTACTTGAATCAATGCAAGGATAAAATTATCCAAATCATTTTCACCTCACAAATAATGGATGATAATACCGAAAGCAGTCTGGTTTTTATACAGCAGAATACTATATGTTAGATTTATACAGTCCAAGGAATTTCTATAATTTTGTATACAGGTTTAAACTACTTACATGATCACATGATGTCACTGTTTGAAAAATAGTGTGGTTGTTGTTATGCACAAAACTACACAATGAGCTATATGTGCTCTGCCCACCACAGTACTTGGAACCCAATCTCTATCATTGTAAATCTAGAAACTTGCCACAGACCCATTGGGGGATTTCAGTACGATTTATTGAAACAGTCAAATGAGGTTAAAATTATAATAGTTTGAAGCAGCTTAAAAACAACAACATGCTACTACAGAATCAGTACGCAATGCCACAATGGGCTATCTGCGGTGTCCACCGAGGGGAATCAAACTCCTGATGTCAGCATTGTAACTCCGAAGACTGGGGGACAAATCAGCACATCATCATGAAGCACGATATTGGTTCATAATAGGGATTGCCCAGGAATTTCACAAAAATTCTAATAGAACATAAGGGCAAAAAACCATCTTAAGAAGCAGACTTGTTCTTGAAACAACACTCAAGACCTTCCATCTCAATGACTAAGGCTGCTAAAATACTGCTGGTTTTCTGATTTTTAGACAAAATTCATCCATTTGTTCTTTATATTATTATTATTCAGATTATTTTTGTTTCACAAGCCTACAGAAAAAACAGCTATGATATATTTTATTGAAACCTGGTTAAAAGAAGAAAAGGAGAGATTTTATTAGTTTTTTTTTTCATTGCTACTGGCTGGCCATGTTTCTCTTCAAAGCCATTCAAGTAATGAAGCCTAAAGCACAAATGGCTAAGAATACTGTGTCAAAATCTATGTACAGTTACTAAACAAACACCTGCAAAGGTTGTTCTTATTTTTAAGTTGATTCTTGAAAGTTGAGATTTCCACTCTCTAAAATGTTCTAAGTTCTTCTTTGCTACCAACATAATCTCCTTGACGCGTTCAAGCATCGCAGAAATGTAGAAACCATTTAAGCACCGTTATACCATTTGGAAATGCTTCATTTTATTACAGTAAACAATGTGTATATTTATATCAGTGTCTCCAGCCTTATTATTATTGATTATAGTTTTACAGAAAAAAAACAGTTGCAAATATTTCACTGAAACCTGGACGATAGGAATGAATGCAGTATTGAGTATGTCATAGGGTAATTTTAAAATTAATTCAAGTACCCTTGTTTTTTGCCCCAAAGAATTTCTAAATCTTTCAGTTTCCACTATTAAAAAATCCAGTGTTTTACTAATGTGCATTAATTGGAAAATAATTTGTACAACTTATTGGAAACTGTCACGTTGAGGATCAATCATTTCTCAAGTTTACTGTTCTTCATTGTTTCTCAAGTTTGCTGTTGTACTTTGGTAGATTTCTCATCTCTTGTGAGTGGTGATTTATTCCACTGATTTTCGTACTTCGCTAACATTGTGAGTGCGTATTTTAGTATTATTTTATCATTATTATTCATATTTTTGTTTCACAAGCCTACAACACAATATTTTGCACCAAAACCTATACAGATATGCTAAATGAAATGCTGCAAATGTCCATAACCTATTTAAAACGAAGATTATTTTTCCTTGAAAGTTGACTTACATGGCTGTAAATACATAATATATGTGATGTCATTGTGAGCAGCTTCCTTTGTATGCAACGTTGTTAAAAGCGTGTTTACAAGAAACCTTAGGCATAAAACCACCTGATAAATAATGTGTTGGTTGGAAAAAAAAGCCAATGCAGCAGTAAACTGTTGAAAAACATGTAACATTCAACTGAATGCACGTATATAGGTTAAAATTTACTCTCCATAAATGGACAGAAAAACTTAAAAAACGAGATAATTAAAATCTATCAATTTTGGTGGAGTCAAAAATAGGATTTTTAGTTTCCAGCCTAGTTTGTTTGTTATTTTTAGAGTCCCTACTTGTTGGTTTGAAAATACAATCTTTGAATTTTAATTCAATTTGTTTCTGTACTTTTTGATGATCCCTATTCCCCCTGTTTATATTAACAATTTTTAATTATCTTATTGATATAAAATTACTGAGTAATCAACAGTGTGAAAGATAAACTAAGACGAATCTAAGTTTACTGGTTGGTAAATAAAACTAGCTAGAAATAAGCTCCCAGTGGATTAGTTAAGTACAGAAAGGTAAAGACTCCATGTTTTCAAGTGCCTAAAAATGATGTTCGATGGACTAAAGTGTGATAAGGCAACATTAGGTAGCAAAACCTATAATATATCATGTTGAAAATTGTAGTTTAGAGTAATTTGAGCAGTTAAACTCTGCATATGAAAGTATCCAATGAAGTTATACAAGTTTAAGATGAAAAATACTTCAGTACTATGTTTAACTAAACTGTGTGTGTTCGTAAATATAACCCACATTATGCTATTAGCTTCTACCCCTAAAATCCATAAATGCTACATTGTTTTACATTCTTCACCACTAACCTCAAGTTCTCAGCTGTTCATTTATGTATCTTGTTACTTAATACTAAGCATACATGGAATGTGCCCCCATTATATGTCATGATGCATTCCTGGAAAGTGGGATGTATGTCTGAAACGACGTTAAGCAACACAATTTTTACTTGGATTTTGGGGGGATGCATTCCTGAAAAATTTCAGTTCACTCAACATGTGCTCAGTGAAATTAACTGACCATGTGATATCTTTCCTGTGGGAACAAAGCTTGTAACCAAAAACGATTGAAGTCTAATAAAATTATGCTTTGTTAGAGTGATAAAAATATTATAGTGCATAATTTACATTAAATTTCCTACTTACTAGAGGGGTGGTGATAAAATTAGAGAAGAGAGAGAATGCCTAGAGAAAAAAATGTCACATTTCTCATACTAGGGAAAATTCAGGATTTTTTAAACATTGCCTTATAAAATTAAGAATTTAAAACTTGTATACTATTAAAATACGGATCCTTAGCTACGATTTAATGTTGTATTAATTGGTGTAACATAAACTAAAAGTAGTTTAATTAAGTTTTGAGGGTAACTCACTAAAATCCTTTGACATGCCCAGTAAACGATGCCCAGGCACATAGGGTTAACACTCTAGTAATGAAACAAGTTGATATTGTTTCAAAAATAAAAGTAGTCAACAATGCTGGAATGCTCCAGTAATGAAACAAGGCAACGTTGTTTGATACATGGGAAGTAATTGGTGAATGCTTTAATAATGAAATGAAGCAGAGTGATGCAGTGTATAATGGGGAAACAGTGTGTGATAGATTAACAATCATAACACAATCCTACTGAAAATCTGGTACATGACAGTGCAATCAAAGAAAGACAAAAATGTAACATGTATCATTTTAAAGTTAGATATTTTTCATAATAAACTTATTTTTTTTACTTACCTGAAGTGGTATGTTCCTGGTCGTTGTCCGAATCCACTGCCTGGAACAACACATATTCCTGTAGTCTCTAGAAGCTGCATGGCAAAGAAAAAATCTGGAGCCTGCCCTAGAGACTGATGAGAGGTTTAAAAACAGTAACATGACATTAGAGAGTATAGAGGGACTGATAAGAATAAAACTAAACTATTTTCAAATTCTTTTAACTCTAAATGTTTTCTGAACCATACATAAAGAAACAAATGAGCACAAAATATGGAAGTAGAGGGCACTATTTAAACAAAAAAAAAGTCAAACTAGGAATGTTTAACCCCTCACACCTTTGTCACCAGAAAATGTTTAATATCTTGGAGAGAGATGTATGCTGTAGTAGTGTGAATGCACTCATTCAACTTTCACAATTATTTAATACAGATATACAAGTACTATGAAATACAACTGTTTGTTTCAGTTCCGGCATTCGAGTATATCTCAATCTCCTGGTCACTAACACTGGCTCTTAGTAGGGAGGGAGAGTGTCAGTGGAGGTAAGTATGTTTGAAAATACATTTTCAGATTAGGAAAATGATAACTTCCAAACCATACATACCTCCGCTGCCACTTATAGCTAGAAACCAACATTCAGAAGACGGAGGGGCCGGTGAGAGCATAGTTCATACAGAAAACATTTGCATAGAACAAATGTGTACATTCTCACAGAGAATGCAAAGTTCACAAATTACTATATGGCATGGAACTTTTATAAATAACAGTTAGCACACTACACTTCTACTTAAAAAGCAATTAGGAAACAAATTAGTACTGCTCGTCAAACAGTTTTTAAAGCCCCCCAGTGGCATAGTGGCAGTGCAGTGATATGTCTGCGTACTTATACTGCTATAGAAACTGGGTTTCGATGCTCGTGGTGGGCGGAGCACAGATAGCCCTTTGATGACAACAATTTGAAAATTCAAGCACCAACATGAAAAGGAAGGCTCATTAGAATGATTCAATTTAATGACATCAGCTGATGTCGATGTATAAGATTTTGGTTTTAATTAGCAATAAAACAAGATTACTTTCAATATTATACATATGGATGATATAAAATAATAAAAACCCTATAATGTGAGCTTCTTCAAAAGGTGGACCTTTCTTCTTTTTTTTCCCAGTTTGCCCTTGAAGATGAAAGGTCCCCCTCACAAAAGCACTGGGGTTATAGGGTTTTTATCATTTTATATTAAGACTCCTTGAACCTATGTGTTTTTCTGACATCATGAATAGACATGTACTTTTTTCAGTCATATCATGCTGAAAATCATTGTCAGATAATTCAGGTTCAGAGCCGGAATAATCGTCAGCTTGCACAAGTTTGGTTGTCTCTTCAAGTATGAAAACACTAGATGTCATTTTCGGTTCATTTACTCAAAAAAGTAAACAATTTTCAAATGCAAGTATTACCAATGTTTTGAATAGCAACATACACCATGTTGGATATGAATCAGTGACCAAGAAAGTTATCTGTGCAGAGTAGACTTCATTTCTTGATTTTGTGTGCTTGTTTCACATTTCTAGTATGAAATTCAAACCGCATTATGTGGTTGCCATAAGGCGACAGGCAAGCCTAAACGGTTCAGTTCATAAAATGAACACAATCTTACTGTGATATGAACAATTAAGGTAGAAATGACATCTAACCAGAAAAGAAGGTTGTCATATGAGGATAGGTTAAAATCTCTGAAATTGTTTTTTTTTGAAAAATAAAAGAGTTAGAGAGGATTTGATTGAGGTGTATATAAATAAAAACAAACAGTGCTCTTCATGTTCAAAATATTCAGAAAATACCATGTGATGACTAGCTATACTGAGGAATATATGAATAACAGTCACCTTGTACCATTGCAATATCTTTTATTTTGCCATTAAAAAAAATTAAACAATAAAAGCATCTTACTTTGGCTTTCTCAATGGCCTTCTCTGGCAGAATCAGTCGAGGAAAGGCATACATAGCTCCAGCTACTTTGTTACACTGCATCCCTTCAATGCTGTTAAAAGTGTTGGCAGCAAGAATAGCCCTCTCTTTCAGTGACTGCAGCACTTCGTTCTTTTCCTGTGGCACATTATAAAACATTTTTCTCAACACTGATTAAATGAAAAGAACACTAGATAACAATTCTGCCATTTAATCTACACTACCATAAAACCCTTAAAAATAAACTAAGATCACACGTTTTATAAAACACTAGTTACTTTCTACAATACGCTAATGTGGTACTACAACAGTTTCTACAGTACGCTAATGTGGTACTGCAATAGTTTCTATAATACGCTAATGTGGTACTACAACAGTTTCTACACTATGCTAATGTGATACTACAACAGTTTCTACACTACACTAATGTGGTACTGCAACAGTTTCCACACTACACCAATGTGGTACTGCAACAGTTTCTACACTACACTAATGTGGTACTACAACAGTTTCTACAGTACGCTAATGTGGTACTGCAATAGTTTCTATAATACGCTAATGTGGTACTACAACAGTTTCTACACTACACTAATGTGGTACTGCAACAGTTTCCACACTACACCAATGTGGTACTGCAACAGTTTCCACACTACACTAATGTGGTACTACAACACTTTCTACACTATGCTAATGTGGTACTACAACACTTGCTACAATACGCTAATATGGTACTGCAACAGTTTCTACACTACACTAATGTGGTACTACAACAGTTTCCACACTACACTAATGTGGTACTACAACACTATCTACACTATGCTAATATGGTACTACAACAGTTTCTACATTATGCTAATGTGGTACTATAATAGTTTCCACACTACACTAATGTGGTACTACATCAGTTTCTACACTATGCTAATATGGTACTACAACAGTTTCTACACTATGCTAATATGGTACTGCAAGAGTTTCTACACTATGTTAATGTGGTACTGCAAGAGTTTCTACACTACACTAATGTACTACAACAATGTCTACACTATGTTAATGTGGTACTGCAAGAGTTTCTACACTATGCTAATGTGGTACTACAACAGTTTTACACTATGCTAATGTGGTACTATAACAGTTTCTACACTACAATAATGTGGTACTGCAAGAGTTTCTACACTATGTTAATGTGGTACTGCAAGAGTTTCTACACTATGTTAATGTGGTACTACAACAATGTCTACACTATGCTAATGTGGTACTGCAAGAGTTTCTACACTATGCTAATGTGGTACTACAACATTATCTACACTATGCTAATATGGTACTACAACAGTTTCTACACAACAATAATGTGGTACTACAACAGTTTCTACACTATGTTAATGTGGTACTACAACAGTTTCTACACAACAATAATGTGGTACTACAACAGTTTCTACACTATGCTAATGTGGTACTACAACAATTTCTACACTATGCTAATGTGGTACTACAACAGTTTCTACACTATGCTAATGTGGTACTATAACAGTTTCTAAACTACAATAATGTGGTACTGCAAGAGTTTCTACACTATGCTAATGTGGTACTACAACACTATCTACACTATGCTAATATGGTACTACAACAGTTTCTACACAACAATAATGTGGTACTACAACAGTTTCTACACTATGCTAATGTGGTACTACAACAATTTCTACACTATGCTAATGTGGTACTACAACAGTTTCTACACTATGCTAAGATGGTACTACAACAGTGTGTACACTATGCTATTTATAAGCTCTAAGATTTTTTGTAACCTTTGAGCTCTCTCTCACGTCAATTAGAAGCAACGTAAGGACTTAATAAATTATTCAATTTAATGTGAGATTAAAAGGTCTAGAAAGGTGACGAATACATTAAATTTATAAAATTCAGATATACCTTTACATCTACCCCAAAACATTTTTTTGGCATGTCCTTCTTAGACTAATTAAATCTGCTAACACTGTAATTTAACACCTATCTAGAATGTTCCATACCGGATTCCATACCTGCATTTATAGTGTGTTATGTTAAAATACGTGCTGCATTTATACACTTATGTCTGTGTATTCCAAAGCTAACTTGGATGAGGCTGTTAATTTCAATTATATACCTCTAAATACATAGACAAATGGCAGGTACAATAAGGTTTTTTAAATGTGTGTGTGTATATATAATTTTTTGAAACCATTAAGATGATCATCTTAACTACCTCACAATCCTAACCATAAGACGGCACTATGATCACTTGTCTCATACAAAACACTTGTTATTCTATTATTGTACAAGACACTTTCCTCACTAGATCATTTAAAATTGACTGATTACCAGCCCTGTCTTATCACTTATTTTACAAGCACTAATTAAAACATGTAAATCACAAAACAGCACCCTAGAGTTAGTTCAGTTTTATACTACACCATTAAAAATAACATTAGTGAAAATGAGAGAGATTTTCATCAGGTGGATTATCTATATTCTAAACAACACACCTTTAAGAAAACAAAACACACTAAATTTATCTTATCGTTATAAAGTCACTTTGATTGACAGGTATAAGTAAAGTAGCTACGCATGACAATAGATCTGCACAAACTGACCTTAATAAATGTCTCATGAGAAGGTTCTCCTGGCTGAGGAGGATTGATCACACAGTCCATGGCTATCTGTTAATGTTAAAAGAAGTGTTTTAAACATATAATGAGCACACCTGCAACAATTAAGGTTTTTATATAACAGTAAAAACAATGATTTACAACAGTGGCAAAAAGAAGTGTTTTAAACATATACTGAGCACACCTGCAACAATTAAGGTTTTTACATAACAGTAAAAACAATGATTTACAACAGTGACAAAAAGAAGTGTTTTAAACATATACTGAGCACACCTGCAACAATTAAGGTTTTTACATAACAGTAAAAACAATGATTTACAACAGTGGTAAAAAGAAGTGTTTTAAACATATACTGAGCACACATTCATCAATTAAGGTTTTTACATAACAGTAAAAACAATGATTTACAACAGTGGCAAAAAGAAGTGTTTTAAACATATACTGAGCACACCTGCAACAATTAAGGTTTTTACATAACAGTAAACACAATGATTTACAACAGTGGCAAAAAAAGGGAATTAATTTGTAGGTGACCATACATGCTTTTGGTCATGACAATAAATGTCTCACTAAGTATTTGGGTAGGTTATTAATTAACTATCTTAACTTGAGCGAGCGGATGTTGCCAGGGTTTGGCTGAAAATCACGATTTATTCATCAGATGGTGACAGTGTCCGATAACAGTTATGTCTCTTTGGCCGAAAACTAACTCAAACTATTTGATTATTTACCTTTTATAAATAGACCAGAAGTCCCATAAAGCAATGTCAGTTATTTTGAAACCAATTTCAGGTCTACCGTAGGATGCTAACAAAATTACAGGTGTAAAGATTTAAAAGGTTAACAAACTGACAGACAATTAGTCAACTTTGAAGTTATTTAGAGGTGAAGAAAACTGTTGATTTAAACAATAAGAAAAACTCAGAAGTGATCCTTCAATACTCATGTCTAAAGAGATGAAACAACAAAAATCCATTTTACACTCAACAAATTCTTATAAACTGTATATTTTTTCACTTTACAACACTTGTGTACAATCAGCCATTGTGTCTTTTAGCAAATACAGGGAACTTCAGTCCATAAGTTAAAATCAGAACTATCAACAGTGGTAAACACAGAACTAATAGAATTTTTAGATAATAATCTAATTAAACTAATGAAGTCATACTGTAGTATATAATAAGCTTTTATATAACTTTTGTTGTTTTGTTCCTTGGGTTCTTAGAATTACTGTTTTGTTACGAATAAAATGTTAAGTTCAGGTAAATGTAAATCGGGGAACATCTTATAAACACACATTCAGATTAAAGTAAGATATATTTGTATACTAATAAGCTGACGTATCAGTAACAGAACTTGTATACATGCTACTTACAGTAAGTTCTGTGACTCATTCCACTACTGTGGTTCATAGTTCACAACTTATGACAACAATTTATTATTTTATTTCAGATAACCATTAGTTAAAATTAAAAACAGGATCAACTTTAAAATGCACAGTAAAAATTATATTTGGCTGATGGCCAAAATTAAAAGGCTGGAGCTGTTTCAGTAGATTTACTCTACCATCATTGTATTTGTTTAACTTACTGCTGATTCTATTACTATTATATTATAGTAAAAGAGTAACATGTGTCACTTGAAATATCTCTGACATCAAACTAATTAAAACTTAAAAAAATTGTTTAGGAGTTTTAATCCGTTTTTGTTCTCTGATCTGTAAATATATGAACAGTATTTTTGTATTTGTAAGCTTTGTGGATTTTAGATGCAACAACTGATTTTCATACATCGGATATAACATCCTCCACTCTGCTTTCAAGCTAGTCGAATTAATATCACAGAAAATAACATTTAAAATACTTGTGAGTAGTATTATTATTTTACTGTTACAGGTTTCTACATGCATGAAGATTATTTTACAATGTGAGCTAGTATATCGTTTTTGCTTGCGAATCAGTTTATCATCCATTTCTTGTCTGTTGTACATAATAAGCTTCATTAATTTATAAAATATTTTTAGTTCTGATCTGTATAGATAACTTACTGTTGATCAGAAGTTATTAATAATAAACACCTGAGCAAGAATACACAGAGAAATCTTGTCAAGTTTTAACAACAGCCTCTTCACCTTTGGGTCGTTAAGTTTCTAAAAACTTCTATAAGCTTCCTTTCATGGTTCATTTGGGAATAGAGAACTTACCTGACCTAGGACACTTGGACAAAGTTTGGCTGAGATGGACTTTAATAACATCTTCTTCACCTCTGGATCAATATTAATAAGTTCACAGTAGCCTCCTCTCAAACCACATCTGGTGTGTGAAAAATAAAACCTTGGAAAAATATTCTCTATAATCTTTTTTTAATCATACATCCCTAAGTTCTGATGTTCTCACAAATGACAATGAACATCTTTAAAATCTTTTAAACTCTGCGATATTTGATAAGAACTCCAACCTAACAAAAATTCACAAATCTTACACAGAGATGACTGTGAAAGAAGGAAAACAGAAAGGAGTAAATGATTAAAAAAAAAGTTAGTGCTGACATGCTTTCAACCATTATAAGAAAGTGACATCATCAACGACTCAAGAATTTAAAAATATACATGAAATAAATGAAACTAACATACCATAGCAAACAAAATATTAAATTGGAATTACCCTCTGCTTATCATTGACTACTTGTCTACTCAACTGTAAACAACTAGTAAATGTTGCTTCACATTAGACATAATTTACTGTAAAAATAACTTAAACCTGATTGGAAAATAGCCCAAAATGGTGCTTGGACAATACAAGTCTATTTAAAAACTTAATGTGGTCCCAAATCTGGGATTAATGGAATGAGAATATATTTTATGATTTTTAGAACGTCTAGTAAGACAACCTAAACGTACTCTCCCATGAATCCTTTGGATGCAGACATGAACGATGCTAGTTCCATGTTGCTGTATGGAGGTCCCATCTTAGTCATGACCTTCTTGAAGGAATGAAACTCCATCCCTTCTGCATAGATGTTATGTTGATAAACCTAAAACAAAGATGTTGTTCTTACACTGACTAAACACAACAAAAAATTACTCACATACAACTGAACTTAATCTCTAAAGATGTAGTGGAATATATAGAATGAATTCAAGTAACACTTTGAGTTCAAACTAAGGTTAGACTGACATTATATTTTATAATGTACTGAACTTTACATTGTAAAAGACTGTTAATTTTAATTTTGTCTTCATGACAAATTATCATTATCTAATATGCTCATTACACAATTACAGCAAATATAAAAACTTTCCTAACATGGTTAGGACAACATGAATGTTTTGGTTAGAGATATTTACCTCATCAGCCATTAAAAAGAGGTGTTCTTCATAAGCAAACTTTACAATCTTTTCGATGTTTTCTCTCGTTAACACAGAACCTACAAAATACACAAGAAAAATAAATGTAAAAAATATGTGACCTTTTTTTCTTAATTCTAAAAGAATTAGAATAAAAATCTATAAATGTTGTGATTTTTAACACTGCAAACTTTATTTTTGCTATTTCTTTTATGAATAAAAATTTTGCAAGTATATAACATAAGTAAAAGAGAATGCCCATGATTTTGTCATTTTGCAAAGTACATTCTTTAATATTTTTTTCTGAGTATCTGAATAAGCTAATGTTTTTATTGGGAAATTTTAATATTCTGCAACAGAAATATGGCATTTTTTAATACAAAAACTCAATCAACAGTGAGCTTTTTCATATATTTATATTACTTTGAAACTTACTAATTAACAGAACATAAACAGAACAAATTTTGTTTTTTAAATATAATATATTTCACTATGGATCAATATATTTGTACTTAAAAAAGAACAACAAAGAAATGATAACAATCCAAGTCTCTTAATTCTCCATCTTTTATCACATACAAAAACAGTGGCAATTTCCCAACAGAGTTCAAAAAAGTGAAACATTAACCCAGTGAGCATGTTTGTACGTCCTTGCTAGTTAAAAAGATGTGCCATGAACATGGATATTATCTTTCAAACCAGACAACTAACAGTTGTAAGTACATTTTAAAACATGTGCAATATGTCCCTAATTTTGTTTGGGAATCTCAAACACATAAAGTATGATACAAACTTTAGTATTATACTGGTTTATACTTATGAAAACTTTAATTATTTAAATTAGTTACTAAGTCAAAATAAGCACCCAACACTTTCCTTAAAGTTTTTACACTACTAATCTTGTTATGTAACATAGATTCTGTGGCAAAATTAAAACTGGTACTATAGATTCAAGCTTATTACGTAGCCTCTGTCACGAAGTGAAACTTGTAGATTCACTATGTCAAACCTTGTACTAACTATACATGTGCAAACTGGTAAGATTTCATTTACTCTCAGCCTTGTACAAAACTATATATATAGAAACTGATAGATTCTGTTCATGTATAATCTTGTAGTACCTTCACTATATAAACTCTGATAGATTCTATTCACATTGACCCTTGTACTACACTACATTTGTAAAAACTGATATATCCTGATCACTCTAAACCTCATAGTAACTTCAGATTTTAGCTCTATTCTATATGGAACTGTGTTTAATGAAAGCAATCTACCTCAATAAATTCTTGCTCAAGTCAGACAAATTAGTAATGCTCAGTCCACAGACGTTTACTTAAAATATTAACATTTAGATAAAAACAAGATATTGTACAAAAACCAAAATTAAACCATGGTACAAAATATAAATAGCTCAGATGTTAGACAAGTGACACTAATACCAGTTAGTTGAGTAAACTGCCTCCAATGTTATTCTGTTCGATACATGGGTTAGAGGCTGTGATTTATATCATGTTTGTATCCCTGTAGATTTTATTTTCAACACAACCTACCAGTCGGGTTCCCTGGGTTTATTACTACTAATCCTCGAGGTTCACAGTGGTCTCTAGCCGCCTCTACAGCTCGTTTGAGCTCGCTGATATCAAGTGCCCACTCGTTGTCTTCATCAAGGTAGTAGTTGATCTAGCAAACAGATAAAGGAAATACAGCTAAATAGCTTAGTAATTGGAATTAAGACAAGATAAAGGAAATGGAAATACAGCTAAATAACTTAGTAATTGGACTTAAGACAAGATAAAGGAGATGGAAATACAGCTAAATAGCTTAGTAATTGGACTTAAGACAAGATAAAGGAAATGGAAATACAGCTAAATAGCTTAGTAATTGGAATTAAGACAAACCAGTTTCCATCATGAGACATTACTGGTATTATGACAGAAAACATCAAGAGTACCAACTGATAGAACAATGCATTCTAATCTTTCAATGTCAGAACAGTATATGTAATTAGTGATACTCATTACGAGGTTGATTTTTAGCTATAATCTATGTAGGTAGCTGACTTTGATAAAAGATGAATATTATATATGGAGAACATCATTTGTAATTAGGGTTTTGGTTGTGGAGCCTTTCTCTCTGTGAGTTTCTCCACTTCTACTTAGGGTTTGATTGTGGAGCCTTTCTCTCTGTGAGTTTCTCCACTTCTACTTAGGGTTTGGTTGTGGAGCCTTTCTCTCTGTGAGTTTCTCCACTTCTACTTAGGGTTTGGTTGTGGAGCCTTTCTCTCTGTGAGTT